GCGTTGAGGAGTTTTGAAATGAGCTAACTCTTAGTAAGTAAAGTGGAGCCACTGACTTAATTTACTTTTACTTCCAAGTTTCAAATTTTAATTTGACTAGCGACTCACCCTCGCTACATCCCTAGATTGCTTCCAAATACAAACTTTTACTCTCATTTACACCCCCTTAAGGGATGATTTCTGGAATAAAATCTATTTTATGCCCTTTTCAGGTTCTCAAACTATCTTTTTACCAAATTACATCTACATCGATTCAGTAGTTTCGGAACCTATTCGATATAAGCAAACAAACAAAAACAAATTTTCCTTCTTTATAATATCAGTATAGATTAATTTATAGTGTCATAGACCTAAACGTGAAGCCATACAATAATGCTGTAAAATATTATATTATACTAGCATTGCCCGCGGCTCCGCCCGCGGTCAGATGACCAAAAACCAAATTCTTAAGTTTACACATTACTCTTACATAGCAGTTTTTGTATTTTTTCTCAGAAATAAGATATTTTCCCGTGGTAAAAAGTATCCTATATGTTGACCCGGATAATCAGCTATCACCATACCAAATTTCATCAAAATCCCTCCAGTGGTTTTGCTGTGATGCGGTAACAGACAGATAGACAGACAGACAGACAGAAAAACTCTAAAACTAAAACTATAGAATCGGCCTCTGTATCGATAATAATGTTTATTTCAATAAGATTTTCCAAAAAATATTTAATGTACAGATTCGGCTTAGTTACGATTTTATTATATGTATAGATTTTTTATAACAGTATACAAATATTAATAGAATACTTGTACTGTTATAAGTAAATAAATGTTAATAATAAAGAAAGAAAACCTAATATGATATTTCTCTTTCAAGGGAATGGGAACTGATTCTAAAAAAATATTAAAGAGTATAAGTAGTTTTATTTTTATTATTCACTCAAATTAACCACTAATATCTATATAAAACTTCACTCATTCTCTAAAGAAAGTAGCATAACAGCAAAATCATGCTACCATTTTTGACTTCGACATTTTTTGGCAGACTCCGTCTTCTAATACCTTAGTCTGAGTTTGGAGACTCATCATAGGAAATGCAGCAAACAAATTTCAACGTCTAAACTTAACTAAAGTAAACTAAATAGAACAATTAGAAAGATTCTATGTTAGTCTCGCTAAAAAAAACGGCTGGACCGATTTAAATAATTCTTATATCTTCTTTTTTGGGTGTGTCAGGGGTAGTTTAGGTACAAAAAATAGGGGAAACCCAAAAAATCTGGTGGAAAATCGAAAAGTTTAGAACTGTTTATTTTTTACCTATGTATATATAATATACTAGCATTGCCCGCGGCTCCGCCCGCTTACAGATGACAAAAAAACAAATTCTTAGGTTTTATATATTAGTATACTCTTACATTGCAGTTTTTGTATTTTTTCTCAGAAATGAGATATTTTCCCGCGGTAAAAAGTATCCTATATATTGAGCCGGATAACCAGCTATCATCATACCAAACTTCATCAAAATCGATCCAGTGGTTTTCTCGTGATGTGGTAACAGACAGACAGACAAAAATTCTAAAAACTATAAATTCGGGCTCTGTATCTACAATAATGTCTATTTCAATAAGATTTTCCAAAAAACATTTAATGTACAGATTCGACTTGGTTACAATTTTATTATATGTATAGATAATCTTATATTCCATACAAAACATTAAAACGTACATAAGGATGAACAGGTGAGTCGCTTGTTATGAATAAAATTCATTTTACCGTAATAAGGATTCCTGCGGTAATCCATGTTGTGTGCATGTATACAATATATCGGTAAGTCGGCACTTTAAAATATTTAATATTACCATTTTCATTTTTAAGAGGGATTATGAAAATCTATCTACCATTACAGGTAAATATTACGTAGTAAACACACTGAAAACATAAAACCGAATTGGTTTTTGCTGTTTGAACACGATCAAATCTTTCAAGTTTTTTTTTAACAAAAATATGATAATTTTATTTAAAAAGAAAGAAGAAAATCTAACAAGAATTCTGTCTACCTGTCTGTCTGTTTGGGAACATATCACGAGAAAATCACTAGACAGATTTTGATGTAATTTGGTATGATGATAGCTGGTTATCCGAGTCAACATATAGAATACTTTTTACTGCGGAAAAATATCTCATCTCTGAGAAATCTATACTAAACGTTAAAACGTAATAGTATTTTCTTATTTTTTTATAAAAGTTCTCAGAGTGGGATGATAGGTAATCGAACTCACGACCTACGCTTAAAAGGCAATTAAGTAACATAAAAAAGATATGTCACAATACTTAAGAACTAAATATATTTTAATTGATGTTTTTATAAAATTAACACTACCATTATATATTCGATAGTTCCATGTTGTTTTATATATGTGTGTGTTTGTTTGTTAGTTCTTCAAGTTGAAGCGGCTGAATGGTTTTGGATAAAATGGAAACATATACTATTTTCAGTAATAAAATTTGTCAAAAATGTCTTTGATCCTTTACCAAATATTGTACCAAGTCGCAAAAGGCAGTTACAAGCGTACGCAAAGTGACGATTATATTAGAGGAAACAACATATCTAAACGCCATATCACGTGGTCTAAACTTCTCATACACATACTATGTATAGTTTTCTACAAGCCATATCGATTGTAGAAATCTATACATATAATAAAATTGTAACTAAGCCGAACTGTACATTAAATATTTTTTGGAAAATCTTATTGAAATAGACATTATTATCGATACATAGGCCGAATCTAGAGTTTTTAGAATTTATGTCTGTCTGTCGGTCTGTCTGTCTGTTACCGCATCACGAAAAAACCACTGAAGGGATTTTTATGAAATTTGGTATGATGATAGCTGGTTATCCGGATCAACATTTAAAATACTTTTTAGTTCGGGAAAATATCTCATCTCTGAGAAATCTATACTAAATGTTAAAACGTAAATGGGGACGAATCCGAGCGGAGCGATGGTAAGTCGCTAGTGAACTATAAAAGACAGATGATTTAGTACCAATCGCTACTCTTTTTACCCTTAGACTCCACGCTACAAGCACATTACGCAGAGGGTCGACTGTCGTTCATTCACTATCGGAGAAAGCATCCCACGTATTCCAAAATAGAAATTGTAAGAATTTATTGGCCATGTTCAATATTCGATTTAATACAAAAATATATTGTATGTTTAATATGTTTGTTGATGACCCCCTTGTTGGCTTACTTTTGATTTCAGCCATAAAGTCATTATGGATACATTTATTTATTTAACTAGCGATTCACCCTCGCTCCGCGCGGGTTCGTTACGTTTTAACGTTTAGTATCGTTTTTCAGAGATTACATATTTTCCCGCTGTAAAATCCATTCTAAATATTGACCCGGATACCCAGCTATCAGCATACCAAATTTCATCAAAATCTATCCAGTGGTTTTGTCGTGATGCGGTCACAGACAGATAAACAGACAAAATTTCTAAAAACTATAGATTCGGCCTCTGTTTTGATAATAATGAGTATTTTAATAAGATTTTCCAGAAACTATTTATTGTACAGATTTAACTCAGAATTTTATTGCATATTATATGCATGTATTAGATATCTATAGATTAACGATGACTTTAATAATTCTCTGCAAAATAAATAAATATTTCTTATGCGAATATATATTTTTTATGCGAAGTATAAGAGATAAATTGAATAATCCATACTAATATTATAAATGTAAAAGTTTGTGAGGATGGATGCATGGATGTTTGTTACGCTAAAACGGATTTGGATAAAATTTGGCATAGATATAGATTATGGTCTGGAATAGCACATAGGTTACTTTATCCCGGAAAAATTTACGGTTCCCGTGGGATAGTTTTTGTCCAAGAACGAAACCGAAGCGAAGCGAGGGTGGGTCGCTAGTTAAAAATATAAGCTTTTAACCATCTATACCGTATAGCACTTTTTCTGTGCATCCATACTCGATTTTGCTATTTTTATTTATCACTAGATCAGTTTTATATTTACAACTTATTTATATATTAGAAGTAGGTCAAGATAACTTCTAATATCTATTTATATATTTACAAATAAAGATAGTAAAACGTACAATCACATTAAAATCACAGTGGGCGGGATTCTAACACGCGCCCACTGAAATTTACGCGTGCCGCCCAACTAAAAATCATATGAAAATTGTAAATACGATTTTCTATACCTTTACAATTAATCTAAATAATAAACATTTAAAAATATGAAATATTAATTAATTATTATGGAACATATCTTATAAAAACTCGTCCCGCCCATGCTTTACTTTACATGGTTTTCTAACATGAATTTAAATTTCTACAATCTCCTGATAGTATAACCCAGGGTGAGTATTGCCCCCCTCCCATCCCCCCACACCCCAACGTGGGTTCACCTTGTAGTGGTGGGGGGCTTATTAGCGTCCGGCAGTCCAGCCGGGCGAGAAGCCAATTCACAGAGAGGTGGCCCACTTCGGTTCTCCTGGTACTTCTCTGACAGTAGAGTGGACCGTGGAAGCAACCTCTTGGTTGTGTGGTCTGCTTCGGCAGACCTACCATCGGGGCGTCATGGTTGAGTGAGTCAGCGATCCTGCGATGCCCCATTAATATGGGGGAGGTTTTGTTGTATTTTAGTGGATAGTACTGGGTTTTCTATTCAGTAAATCCCACATAACCACCTGTATATATATGGTGTGCGTAAATGCATTCCCCAACATTAAAAGAAAGAGTGTATAATGTACAGCCAAATATATGTATATACAAAATTGACCTGTCTTATCAAATTTGGCTCCTGCAATACAGTTTACACGTAAAAGCTGATCATTGTATATATATTATATGTATAATTATATTAATGAAGAATGTAATTTAATTGTTATCAATATGAAAACAAACATACAAGGCAAGTTTTATAATATGTCAACGGTCATTTTTACTTACTATATATTTTCTTTCAACAACAGGAGCTGCTAATACACGCTGTGTCAACGAACGAGTTGCTGAAACCCAAAGACGAACCACCGTTCAGTCTGACGTCCAGCTTATGTCCAGTATCTTTACAGCATCCAGGTTAGTATATTTTATCTACTTATATTTGTAATCTACAAACACATATTTCTAAATAAATTCCTATATTAATTTCATCATTCTCTAATATCTATATGAATAAATAAGTACTATATATAAGTTAATTAAAATAAAATAATACGCTAAAAATAATATTTTAGATTTATTCGTAAAAATCCCACATTTAGTAGTTTTATTAAAACTATGTTTATAATAATACTAGCAGTAGCCGCGGCTTCGCCCGCATTTAAACTTTCGATATAAACATCAATTTTACAATAATATACGGAAGTCTGCCAGATTTGTTGACATTTATGATTACTGCTCCGCTCCCTTCGGTTGTAGCATGATGATATATAGCCTATAGCCTTCCATAATAAATGGGCAATCTAATGGAAAAAGAATTTTTCAAATCGAGAAATAATAGTTTCTGAGATTAGCGCGTTCAAATAAATAAACTATGTCTCTTTATAAAATAAGTATAGACATATACATAGGGACGAACCCGAGGAAAGCGTGGGTGTGTCAGGAACGCACCCGATCATAACAAGGGTAATTCACATATAATAAAATTCTAACTAATCCGAATCTGTACGTTAAATGTTTTTTGGAAATTCTTATTGAAATAGACAATATTATCGATACAGAGACCGAATCTAAAGTTTTTAGAATTTTTGTCACAGAAAAACCACTGGAGGGATTGTGATGAAATTTGGTATGATGATAGCTGGTTATCCGGGTCAACATATAGGATACTTTTTACCGCGGGAAAATATCTCATTTCTCAGAAAAATTACAAAAACTGCATTGTAAGAGTATACTAATATTTAAAACCTAAGAATTTGCTTTTTGGTCATCTGAACGCGAGCGGAGCCGCGGGCAATGCTAGTTAAATATAAGTCTTTTATATCCTCTAAATAGAGCATTTATTAAAGTACATTTGAAATAAAAACACAAGTAGCTGCCCGCTGGAGGCAAAGAGTAACTAACGCCGCATTATCGTGTTACCGTTCGAGGGAAGTCTAATTATATCTAACTAGCAAATGCCCGCGGCTTTTACCGTATTTTCCTCATAAATCGTATTTTTGTTTGTTTAGATTTAAATATTTAGGACAGAGATTCTTGTTTAATAGTTATCAATATATATTGGTATTATAGATACAAGTATATGCTATTACTATATATCCGCATTTCGTATAGGTGTTTCTAAATATATTTTTTTTCTTCAACCCAGTAAATAAACTTTAACTATGCAATTTTTAATAGGTCGAATATTATAAAGAGGCAGAGTTTGTTTGTTAGAAGGCGCTAATCTCAGGAACTACTAATCCGATTTGAAAAATTATTTTTGCATTAAATAGCTCGCTTATTGAGGAAGGCTACAGGATTTATATCATATAATTTATAGTTTACCTATTCTAGTCTAATCCATATAAATCGTTAAAACGTACTGTTCGTAGTTTGTTATATTTATAAGTTGTTCGTCCCTATCTTGATTCCCCATACAAACTTTCATCTCCATTGTCACCCCTTTAAGGGATGATTTTTGGGATAAAAAGTATCCTACATCCTTCCCAAAGTCTCAAACAATCTTCTTACCAAATTTCATTTAAATCGGTTCAGTAGATCCAGAGATTACCCCCTACAACGTCACAAATTCACAAACTCACAAACTTTACCTCTTTATAATATTAGTATAGATTAGATTAAGCCGAGCATTGCCATGCTTAAAATTTAGTAGGAGTAAATTTTGAAAGAGTCACTCAGTACTTGTTATTGACAATAAATCGTGCCGGAAGTAAATTGTCGTTATTAGAGCTTAAAGTTTTTCTTACAGCTTTTTATTATGTTTTCTATTGCTTATTCCTAAGTTCATAATAAATTGTCAAATAAAGTTTGTGTGCTAATGTTTTAAAAATTACATTGTTGGAAAATTTTATTTAAAAAAATTAAATAACAAATAATTATTATGTAATACTATCATAGATTTATGCGAATATTTGAGATTTTAAATAAAACTATCTTTTCGGATGTTTTCGTGGATTTATTTTCATTTTTATTTTGATGTTAACTACGTAACAACTGTATTAATGCCTTTGAGACGTCTGAAGCCTTAGTCTCTCTCATGTAAAGCATTCGAAACGTCGGGAACCAAAAATCAAAATAAATATGCAAAAATATCGAAAATATAGTTTTGTTTTAAATAATATAAATCCCTGCTTGTTACTTTTGCCAGTTTTCAGAACTGAGGCGTTTTCTTTCCGAATTGATTGGTAGTATATTCCCATTTCAATATATAAAGATTCCACGATTTCGTCTGAAATGGGTGAAATATTCAAGACTTTACTTTAAAGATATAGAGTGCGATTAGCTTTAGCGATCACTAGGTTTTAATAAAATATAGGCATTTGTCCGCTAATTTAAAATAAGTATCAAGCAACCTAGCTTCGCTCGGAGTTTTTGAGCAAAATTCCAATTTTCTTTTTAATTTGGCTTAAAAAACAAAAAACTTTAATAAATACAAAAAAAACTAAAAACTTTGTATCCTGTGGGTACCTGTGATTACGTCGTATCCTTGCGTCTTGGCATCTTTACCATTATTCTTATGCCCGAGTGTGCTAAACTACTGACCATATTTTGCGTGGAATAATGCCAAAGAAAACCGTATGAACACTCGAAAACGCGCGTTTTCTCAGACATAAGGCTAGATCGATTTGTTTGCCCCCGAAAACCCCCACATGCCAAATTTCAGCCAAATGGTTAGTCGTTTCCGAGATAGCCTATTTATAAATAAATAAATATACGAGAATTGCTCGTTTAAATATGTAAATCTAACTTTTATTATTTCTATTGAAAATTTAATACTGATAAACGATTTATTAAAAATTTGAATCTAATGAACAATGCTAAGATAAACTAAACTAAACTAAATATATTGGGACATTAGCACACTGCACCATCTAGTTCCATGGTGAGCTACGAAGCTTGTGTTATGGATACCACATAGTTGATACACTACACACATATAACTTTAAATACATACATATTATAAATATAAACACCCATAACTAGAGTACAAACATTCGTACTCACCATACATATGAATGCCCCCAGCGGGACTTGAACCCGCGACCGCTGGCACAGCAAGTAGGGTCACTACAAACTGAGCCAAACGTTTAAGTATATCGTGCTTGTATATTTTATCCCTTAGTTCCTACTTATTTACTATGCCAATTACAAAAGCTATAACGTACCGACTTGGATTTATAATTTACGACGTCGTATTGTTTGCTGGGTGCCTGTTTGATTGGCGATATGTGTCAACTAACGGAAATCCATTGATAGTTTAGGTCAGAAATAGTGGGTTTGATACCCAGAGTAAATTGTGCGGCTATTAATGACGTCCGGTCTGCAACCATTACTGCTATTTCTAGTATCCTTGAATCGAAATTTTTCATTTGCAAATGGTATGAGAAATTAAATGTCTGGATTTGATAAAGTTAAGTTAATATTACTCTCGATAATCTTTAAAAGCATGTCAGAATTTACACACACACACAAACACACACACACACACACACACACACACACATATATATATATATATATATATATATATATATATAATAAAATTGTAACTAAGCCGAATCTGTACATTAAATATTTTTTGAAAATTTTATTGAAATAGACATTATTTATTATCGATACGGAGGCCGAATCTATAATTTTTAGAATTTTTGTCTGTCTGTCTGTCTGTCTGTCTGTTACCGCATCACGGGAAAACCACTGGAGGGATTTAATGAAATTTGGTATGATGGTTATCTGGTTATCCGGGTCAACATATAGGATACATTTTACCACGGGAAAATGTCTAATTTCTGAAAAAAAATACAAAAACTGCAATGTAAGAGTATACTAATATGTAAAACCTAAGAATTTGGTTCTTGGTCATCTGAACGCGGGTGGAGCCACGGGCAATGCTAGTATATAGTATGTCATTCCAATTTTTCCCAGTTTTCCATTAGTGATTGTAGAAACTCGACTAGACAAAACTATATTGTCAACGTCAACTTCAAATTAAAGCAATAATTAATAATACTTACACACATTAGTTAGGGATTTCTCTACATTTGAGTTCGAATCATATTATTTGGCATTCTGTCTGCGATAAGCTTTTCATTATACTTCCTTTGATGACAATCGTTTTAGATGCTTTGATTGTTAGTTTTCCACAGCTTTAATTTGTGTACCCTCGATTAAGCTTTGTAACAACAAAGCTAATCAAATCAACAGATTAGATTGTAAATTGTTTAAGTGGCCTAGGTCCGCTCTGTTCATATATTTATCTACCTCATTGATTTTGTGGTGCATATTCGGCTGCAGACCCGGAAGTCCTAAGTTTGAGTCCTAGATCTGGTCAAGTAGGTATAGTTACTGAGTTTATCTCTTACTTGTAAGAAATTCTCATTAGCAGCCTGAAGTTAGGAAGTTCGCTGTGTTACACCCCTGTGTTATAGAAAGTACTTTCTGCTGATTTCTCACCGACAGTGTTCTTACTTTTCCACCGTAGTAAAGAAAAGTGATGACACGTTTAGCTCAGTTTGTAGTACTTACTGTGCCAGCGGTCGCGGGTTCGAATCTCGCTGGGGGCATTCATTTGTGTGATGAGCACGAATATCATGGGTTTTTATATTTATAATATATATGTATTTGAACTTATATATGTTTAATGTATCAACTATCAGGTATCCATAACACAAGCCTCGTAGCTTTCCATGGAATTTGATGGTGCTATGTGTTAATGTCTCAATATACATATTTGTTTATTTATTATTTAATTAAGAGTGCACTTGTGATTATGACCAGTGATTTTCATAATAATATCTCCTGCGTAGTTTGTAACTCTATGGGAGTAGCCGCCATGTACGAAATTGATAAAAGGGGCATTACTAATGATATTAATAACAAGTTTATTTTATTAAATACTACGTTTAAATGCAACC